AGTTTTAGTTCTTACATTTTTATTGGTGAAACAATAATTTTGGGTATGAATGTGTGTTACTGGTCACACCACTAACGAATAGCTGTTGAATGTATTGTTTTTTGAAGGTGTGTAATTATACCTGAAATATTATTGATAAATCGGTAAACCAATAAAAAAGGAACGTTTCTTTAAGAGGTGTAACTTTATTATACGTATGGAAAATGTACCCAAACAATTTGATTACTTAATTTTTCAGTAGACGCAGTTTAATTTTGTGTATCAGTATAAATTTCAATAAAAAAATAATCTATTGTTTGTAGTTTTTTATAACATTATTTATTATTATTTACATATTTTTGTACAATTTTTGTAATAGTTTGATTTATTCTCTTTTTTACTAAACAAATTACAATTAATTTAAAATCAGACATACATATCAGGTTTCGAGAACTATCTTAAACAAAAATAAAACATTATTTCAGACAGACTTATCATAAAAAAATATAAGAGATGGCAAAAAACATCATAAAATTACGCCGGAATATTATTAGTCATTGCAAATTGGATTTAGGGGAAAGTTCGTACCGCCTCCTTAATCGTACCACTCTATTTTACTGCTTTATAGATACGCTAGAGCTCCGCTGACAGTGTAATTGTGTATTACAAGAGGAATCCGGCGAGTTTCAACAGAGTTGTGCATGTTCGCGCCATTCTGCGTTGTCTTATTACAATTATTGTGTTTTTGAAGTGTGCTTGTAGTTTTCGTGCATCCTACGTAAGCTCACATCTTTTTTATAGGTAGCTGTAATATAATTTTATCAACACATTGTATAAGACACTTAATCTAGTATCTAAAAACCAATAGGTTAACGCAAACAGTTTGATTTTTAGGCTATAAATTGCACATCTTTATGCAAAGTAAGAGTTGCATTGATCGTACCTCGCGACTTTTCCTTGATCGTACCGGTACGATCAAAGACACCCTCTTCTGTATTATATAGGGTGAGAGGCACTTATGGAATAAAATTATCTCTGTCCTTGTTTTAAAAAATCATAAAAAATGCTGAAACCCGTTGATTTTTAAACATAAATTTAAATGTACAGGGTGATTAACGCAAGCCTAATACAGACTAAAAGCTTTGTTTTTAATGAAAAACCCTGAATACTTTTATATTTTTAAAAGCTTAACCTGATTTCAACGAACTATATCATGTAATGTAGGTTTCTTATAAATAATACATGTTGAAATTTTGAAATTATAATATGGAAAGCACTATGGAATAAAATTATTTGTATCCTTATTTTAGAAAATTGTACAAAGGCTAGTATGGGTCAACTTTTAATTCTCAGCGTTTTTTATTCTTTTTTGACATAAGGGCAGAAATAATTTTATTCCGTAAGTGCCTTCCACACTGTATAGGTACAATTGCCTACTTATTTTTCAACTAACAGGAGCAATAACAACCTAATACACTTGTGTTTTTGTATTTTTGTATGGCATACCAAAGCCAACTTTCAACCGGCATCTTAAAGGAAGAAATGTTGCTGCCAATGGTCGGTTGTCTAGCTTCTAGGTTGTCTAGCTTCTAGGTTTGTCTGGCTGGTAAGAAATGGTTTTACTCTTTTAAACAGCGACATCCTAAACTTGCTTTGAGAGATCCCAATGCTACATCTTTATTACGGCTGAAAGGGTTTAACAAAGAAAATGTTTATGAGTTTTTTGACATAATACAGAAGCTTGTTGAAGAAAACAAGGTCGATGCCACACGAATTTACAATGTTGATGAGTCAGGACTTTCCACTGTCCAAACCAAAAGTCAAAAAATACTTGCCAGAAAAGGTAACAAACAGGTAGGTTCAATCATAACCATACATAACCATTGAGCTGTTTATAAAGTGGCTGGAAGTGGAATAAAAAGTTATTCTCGTGTTGGATGGGCACACAACTCATTCCAAAAATTTGAAGCTATTTAATAGCCAGGAATCATGGTGTTATATTGTTACAACTTCCAGGATATACAACACATCGACTTCAGCCTCTAGACAGAAGCTTTTTCAGCCCCTTAAAGCCCTACTTTAATCAAGCAGTTGAAAAATGGCTGAGGACTAATCCTGGGCTCTGTGTCACACAATATCAAATCTCTGGATTAGCTGCTGAGGCATATTGAGGCAGCTGCAACTATTGAAAATGCAGTCAGTGGTGTATGGCCAGTAGACCCTACTTTCTTCAAAGACAGTGACTTTGCAGCGGCTGATAATCTAAATCAGAATGACACTGAAAACGTCAACAAAGAACAACTGGAAAAACATGCAGACGATCCTGTTGAAATTGACTATCCCTTACATATGGAGCTCAAACCTGGACATTCACTAAAATAAATATGGAGAAGATCAGAAAAACTCAGAAAGCTATGGAACGACAGATGCTCGGTATCTCACTCAACGACTATAAAAGCAATGAAGACATTCGTAATAGAACAGAAGTAAAAGATAATAAAGAGGTAAAAGAACAGAATAAAATAAAATGGAAATGGGCTGGACATAACGAATGTCTTACGGATGGCCGATGGAATAAATAAATCGGCAATTGGCGGCCATATAAAGCCAATAGACCACGAAGATGACCACAAATGCGATGGAGCGATGATATTAGAAGAACCGCAGGGCCAATGTGGAAACGTCTTACAAACAACAGATATGAATGGCGAGAATTAGGAGAGGCCTAGATTCGGCAATCCGAATAGAGAAAATGGCTTTAAAAAAATGATTACCAGCAAGCTGTCTGTGTCATAAAAACTGTGTTATCATTAATGTTGAATCGGAGTATAAAAAAATAAAAAATCATTCAATAGATGTTTGTGGAGAATAACTAGATTTTGACTTAAAAAACTTTTTAATCAATAAGTTATTTTAATTTTTAAATTTTATTTTACCTATTTATTTTATTTAAAAGTTTTTATAATTAAAAAAATCATCAATAAAAAATAAATGGAGGCTTTTATGGAAGGCAACAAAAAGAATAAAGAGACCAATTATTCATTCTCCTCCTATCAAGTTGGAAAACGGCAATTGGGCTAGAAGTAACGAACAGAAAGCAGAAGATTTGCTGATCATTTAGAAAGCACGTTCAAACCCAACGACAAAAAGAGAATATAAATCCTAAGAAAGCTCCAGGATATGATCTCATAACAGGAGAATTATTAAAAAATCTACCAAGAAAAGCCATAGTTAAGCTGACACACCTAATAAATGCTGCTTTTAGATTGAGATATGTTCCCAGACTCTGGAAAGTAGCCGAAGTAATTATGATCGCCAAACCAGGTAAATCTCCTAATGAAGTGACATCCTATCGGCCAATATCACTCCTTCAGGTGATGTCAAAACTATTTGAAAAACTTCTATTGAAAAGATTAACACCAATAATAAAAAGAAAAAATCTTATACCAAATCAATAATTTGGTTTCAGAAATCAACATTCCACTATAGATCAAGTTCATAGAATAACGAATATAATAGAAAAAACATTAGAAGAAAATAAAATCTACTCTACAATCTTCTTGGATGTAGCACGGGCGTTTGATAAAGTCTGGCATGACGGTTTAAACTATAAACTAAGAACGTTCATGCCTAAACAGTATTCAGAAATCTTAAAATCATACATTGCGAATAGATATTTCAGAGTAAAATAAGAAGAAGTGTACACTGACTTAAGGGAGATCAAAGCTGGCGTGGCACAAGGGAGTGTCTTAGGTCCGGTCTTATACCTATTGTATACGTGTGACATTCCAGAGCTAGAACAAAATACTATTGCCAACTTCGCGGATGATACAGCCATACTAGCGATAGGAGACACTAGTGATAAGTTGTAACTATCAGTAAATAAAATACATAACTGGACCAGAAAATGGCGAATAAGATTAAATGAGACTAAATCTGCACACATTATCTGCACTTTACAAATAAAAAAATAGAAAATTTCCCAGTTAGAATAAATGATACCCGAATTCTTTATGCAACATCAGCAAAATACTTGGGCATCACCCTAGACGCGAAGCTGCGCTGGAAAGTTCATGTCAAAAAGAAAAGAGGGAAGCTTGATATTAGATATAAGAAATTGTATTGGCTGATTGGAAAAAATTCAACTAATAAATTATCCATCTACAAGCAAGTACTGAGGCCAGTATGGGTATATAGGTGCCAACTCTGGGGCTGTACCAAAGCTAGTAATCTACATATTATCCAGAGATTTCAAAACAAAGTACTAAGAAACATTGTTGATGCTTCTTGGTATATCCGTAACAGCAACCTCTACCAGGACCTGGGTATGGAAATTGTGATAGAAATAATCAAGAGAACAGCAGCAAGTCACGAGCAGAGGCTGCATAGTCATGTGAATGTCGAGGCAATCCAGCTTCCTGACAACACTGAACTAAAAAGAAGACTCATAAGGACAAAACCATTTGAGCTAGTGTAAATGTGTAACAGTTTATTGTAAAAAGCAGAGTATAGTGCTGTGAAGTTATTGCATGTTAGTTGTAGTGCATTAGTTAATAGATAAAATAAGAGTTAGTAATAGGGTAAGCCCTTAGATTTAAGTATTTGCTGATATTATGTTAAGTCAGAAAATAACTGATAATTGGTAATTTGTGACCAGATAGCAGTATACAAACACCGCACAGGTGTTAATAAAAAAAAATAAATAAAAAAATAAAAAATATATTTCCCATTTAGTAAATTTAAATAAATAAATTGAAATACATTGAATAATTTCAACATTTTAAATATTGTTTATATTTGTTAAATATTACCTAAAATATAAATTAGAATATTGAGAAAAAATCAACATAATAAAATAAAATATTTACCATTAAAACCAGTTCAACCTACTTAACACCTTTTTTGACTGACCTAACATTTCGAAACGGATATTAAAAAATCATGCCGTTGTCTGCACCACTTTCAACAAAACATCAACCAAAACATCCATACAAACACTCTAACCACATTGACATACTAACCTCAACCCCGATAAGCTTCCTTACGACGTTGACGTCTCCCTGTTGTGCGGCGTACATAAGCGCCGAGACGCCAGTCACGTCTCGCGTGCGGCGTCGTTTCTCGCGGCGGGATAGCCGTCTTATATCACGCCCGATTCGTTTCTGTTTGAGCACTGCTTCGGGTTTACCTTTCGAAGGGCTGTTCATTGTGGCGGTTCCACGCTGCTACACCACGTGCTTTGAGGATTCGTCATCGTTGCATGGCTTAATGGCTCCTGTGATGCACCGGGAGGTGGTGCAGGAGACATCTGAGATGATCGGTTGCTGATAACTGCTGTAGATTCATACTGGAATAAGAAAGCAAGGTGTATATATGTCGAAATTTTTAGGGCAAAAACAATAATTTACTAAATGAAACTAAGTATATTAGGAGCGGTAACAAAGGAGTACAAACAGGGCTTCATAAATTTCATTTAACAAGTACTCCTAAAACTAAATGGAATAACTTTATAACTGGGTTAAGCTGGCAGATGAATTCAAATAGTAAAATTTAGCAACAATACTTAAACATTACGTCAGTTATTACATAATTATTATCATGATAATATCGGTGTAAACACTTACTATCTATTAAAAAAATACCTATAAATTTGCTGACCAAAAAGTATTACTGAACATATAAATTATTACTCAACATAAAAACTTTTAGGTTGTACAAAAAACAAAGATCATTACGGAATACAAAAAACATGAAAGGACATACCCCATAAAAAAAACTTTGCACTTTACTGCACTAAATACAAATATAAAAATAGTTTAAATGAAATCAAGTTTGATATTAACAAAAATAGCTTGATCAAATGTTTCATCAGAAAGAGAAAGGAAAATATTATAACTTACAGTTTGTCTTTATATCCCCAAAACTTCGTAAACTGTAATTTAAAACACTTTTTACTGGAATATTGCAACTCAGATGTCTTGTACTATTTTATTGACTTCATATTGGTACTAAACTACACTACTTTCAAAGATACATTTAATCTCCAAAAATGTTTTCAAAACTTAGATGGACTAATCGAGGATATATGGTACTGGATCCCTACTGAAAAGTGCAGACTTCCTACATCATATCACTAAGATCACCCACCAGGAAGCCTAGGCTTCCTGGTGGGTGATCTTAGTAGTATGTAGTGGTTTTCTTTATTTGAAACTGTTTCAACCACAAGGGTTATTAGCAATGGTCGGTTTTACAGATAACATAAATATAAAAAAAAACACAAAGAATACAATTAGATTTTGTTGATAAGTCCTGAGGAAACCAAAAACAGTATGGTACCATTGTGGTCACTATGTTAGAATGTCTTTTATTGTTATAGGTAACTGTTCATGTTGTCTTTCAAATGCGTACAATGGACACTCCCCTAATAAGTGATGTACTGCTAGATAACTATCACACGCGTAACACAAAGGTTTGGGTTGCTTCTGTAGTAGGAAATCATGCGTGATCTTGGTGTGTCCTAATCGTAGTCTGGAGATGGTCTCTGATATCTTCTTTTCATAGTTAGCCTCTATGGTAGGATAGTTTGTATTATGGATCTAAGAATTTGAGATATCACATTGAAAATGAAATTGGGTTCTCAACTGCTTGTTTTGCAACGTTGTAGACTCTTTTATTTCCTTTTATTCCACAATGTCAAGGGGTCCAAAAAAACTGAACAGTTCGATGATTGATTTGGCATATCATGAGTTCTGACTTAATTAAACTTAAAATAGGGTATTTAGTAAAAAGTTGGTTTAATGAGCATAATAAACTCAATGAATTACTAATTATTAGGCTATTAAGAATGTTATTTTCATTGACGAATTTTATTGCCTGAAGAATGGCAAATAGTTCAGCAGAGAATTAGTGAATTAATTACGGAGTTGAAATGACCGTTCTTCGCTGTTTGTTACAAATGCAGCATACACCACATTTTCCGATTTTGATGCATCAGTATAAATGTGGATGAACTTGTGATGACTAACTTCTCTAAGGCTTTGTTTTTAAAGAGGCATGATAAAGTATCAGATTTTTTAAATGATGTAAGACTGATATCGCACTTTGGGAGAGATGTTGTTCATTGTAGAAGATTATCAGAATTTGTAAGTGTGTATATAGGAGGTACAGTGATGTCTAGGTTATTTAGAATTGTGATGATACGATGAGAAAATGGTGGATCTAATCTTCTTTTTGACTGAAACGTCGAGAAAAATCCGTCAGCAACAGGTTTCTTGCCCATTTCTCGCATTTCTCCTATATACACACTTTCAAATTCTGATAATCTTCTACAATGAATAATATCTCTTCCAAAGTGCGATATCATTCTTACATATTTAAAAAATCTGATACTTAATCATGCCTTTTTAAAACCAAAGCCTTAGAGAAGTTAGCCATCACAAGTTCATCCACATTTATACTGATGCATCCAAATCGGAAAATGGGGTGGATGCTGCATTTGTAACAAACAGCGAAGAACTGTCATTTCAACTCCCTAAGCAATTCACTAATTCTCTGCTGAACTATTTGCCATTCTTCAGCAGGCAATAAAATTTGTCAATGAAAATAACATTCTTAATAGCCTAATAATTAGTAATTCATTGAGTTTATTATGCTCATTAAACCAACTTTTTACTAAATATCCTATGTTAAGTTTAATTAAGTCAGAACTCATGATATGCCAAATTAATCATCGAACTGTTCAGTTTTTTTGGACCCCTTGACATTGTGGAATAAAAGGAAATAAAAGAGCCGACAACGTTGCAAAACAAGCAGTTGAAAACCCAATTTCATTTTCAATTTTATATCTCAAATTCTTAGATCCATAATACAAACTGTCCTACCATAGACGCTAACTATGAAAAGAAGATATCAGAGACCATCTCCAGACTACGATTAGGACACACCAAGATCACGCATGATTTCCTACTACAGAAGCAACCCAAACCTTTGTGTTACGCGTGTGATAGTTATCTAGCAGTACATCACTTATTAGTGGAGTGTCCATTGTACGCATTTGAAAGACAACATGAACAGTTACCTATAACAATAAAAGACATTCTAACATAGTGACCACAATGGTACCATACTTTTTTTGGTTTCCTCAGGACTTATCAACAAAATCTAATTGTATTCCTTGTGTTTTTTTTTTATATTTATGTTATCTGTAAAACCGACGCTAATATCCCTTGTGGTTGAAGTAGTTTCAAATAAAGAAAAAAATTTTTAGAAAATACGTAAATATTATTGTCTTTATTTTGTAAAATTAAATTTTTATTTAATATCTTTTATTTAGTTAGGTATTTTCCTAGCAATTAGAGTTAAATAAGACAAAGAAAACATAATTAAATCCAAAGAATTTAAAATTAAAAAAAAAAGAAAATAAATTGGGGCAACACTAATTGCTCTACTTCCTTAATATTGTGTGAAAATTATATTTTATTTTTGTACTTACAACCGAAGTTTTTGACGCTTGATTGACTATTTTACACAGATGTTCACAATGTCAACAAACCTGTTTTCAAATAATTAGTAATCAATATTTTCCTGGAAATGAAAACGCTAAAGTTTAATTAACAAAAGATCGCACGTTTCACAGAAAAATGATTAAGTAATTAATGTAGCAGTTCATTTTCGTAGATATAAAATAACAAGTCTGATTTTATATTTATTAATACTAAAGTACACTACAAAAATTATTTTTAAAGGATTTAAATTTAAATTTAAATCAAGCGATTCATTGATTGATTGATTGAATTGATTATTATTAATATTTAGTGCATTAGCAAAAAGTTTACATTTTGTTTTTTTATGAAAAATGTTTCACTAAAAATTTTGATCATACGCTTTTGCACCAATGCGACATCGAAGGAACTAAGTGATAATTTAGTTAATAAAATTAATTTGATTTTACATAAAAGTACTTATCGTCGTTAGGAATGAAATACCTCCAATGTGCAAATTTCTGGTAATTCAGATTTTAAACGATTCTGAATCGCTATGAATAGTTTTACAGTCTAGAAAAATATCCAATGTGCGTACCGATTCCTAACGTCCCTAATGTCTAAAAATGCATTACTCCGATGTAACATATTATTAATTGTTGAACTGAAATAAATCCAATGTGCTTAAAAAACACATTGGAGCTATTATCTATTATAATATCTGCACATTGGAGGTATTTCATACTTTCATCTGTCAAATTCCTATCCTCAAATTTTCTCAAATAAGCTATTTACCAGTGCAAAATGAGTGTTTTCAAGACAAGAACTAAAATAGTTGTACAAAATTCACTTAAGGAAGATCGGCAAAATTCTATCCAAACTTTTGCTCCTATTGAAAATGAAATTTATAATGAAAAATCCAAAAACAGGTATGTAAACAAATTCACTACTACGGTAAGATATCTTTCATCTCATTATTGCTTAAATTAAGTAGGTAATAATTATTTTTCTTATTTCAGTTTGCCTGCAGCTACTATATTGGAACAGGAAAAAGGCAAAATTTGTGTTTTGGCGATGTACAACATATTACTAGACGTAATGGCATGTCAGTAAAGGAGAGATGTAACCATATTATAACGCCAAAATGTTTAAAAGAACACTCATTTAGATGTGCTTTAATTACGCAGGACGATAGACTACAAATTTTTAAAAAATTTTGGATATTAACGTCGTGGGAACATAGAAGCACTTATGTTAAAAATCTTGTTCGGGCAAGAGCAGTTCAAAGGCGCCGAAAAGATACTCAAAATTCAGACAAACGGTCCAAAAAGAAGAGTGCTCGTGACTTTTTTTGTTTCTAAAGACGGAAGTTACCTCAAGGTATGCCGAGTTATGTTTTTGAACACATTAAATTTAGGAGAAGACACAATGAAACGATGGGTCTCAAGGGAGCGAGCCACTCATGAAATTGATACTTCTAGTGAAAGTCTACAAGATTCCAACATTCAACAAGATTACTCCAAGAAAAATGAGACAAATTTGCAAAGAAAAGAATGTTATGGAATGGTTGCAAAATATTCCTAAAGTTCCTTCACACTATTGTAGAGCATCTACTAGCAGAATATATGTTGACAACAGTATCATAACAACAAATTACATGTACAGACTATATAAAGAATGGTGCGATGATAGAAAGCAGTCAGTTGCTTATATCAAGTTGATTTAAA